ATCCGGCACTATTATATTTCATCGCCTTTTGATCTCACGACGCTACAGCTTTATTTCGCAGTGCGTTAAATCGCACTATATTTTCACAAGCAAGTTGTCGCAGCCAGCGACATAACGGTCGACTTGCAAAACCGTAGCCAGCGGTAGTAATCATTGTGAGCTAAAACCAACGGACGTTACAGGGTGAGCAGAATGCCGATGAAGCATAGTCCACCGAGACGCAGCAGTCGCATTCAGCAAGAAACAACGCGGGAATTGTCTCAAAAACCTAGCGATATGAGTTCAACAGCTGCCAACGCCGCCGCAGCGCTAATGACGATGTCTGTTGCACCTGCCGCCGCACCCCCAGGAGCCACATTAACGGCCGCCATGACCACTACCAACGTCATCCCTCCACCGGTAGCCTCATTCTCAGCAGTTTCTGCCGGAACCACCACACCCCTGGTAAGTCAATTTATCGCCACCACAAATGCCGACAAAGCCGCCGCAGCATCGATGGTTATGCCTGTTGCCCAAACGACCACAACCCCAATGACCACGCTTTCAACCAATGTCGCCACACACTCAGGGTACATGTCAGCTGCCCATGCCGTCGCAGCCGTAACAACCATATCAGCCGCCATACCTACTGCCCATACGGCCGCAACCGTGTTCACTCCCCCAAACACCATAAGCTCCGCCATCTCGTCAGCTATTGCCATGCCCATTGCGAGCAATTCCGCAGTCACATGCACCGAGCATATCACCGCTACGTCTCGGACTGCCAGTTCGGAAAACGGTAACAGCACCATCTCCGCACAACAGGTGAGTCTCTTATTTGAAAAAATACATGCATTAGAAAACCAGCTTCGAGACGCACAAGTACAGCTGGTTAGTGACAACCAATCTCGATTGTTCGATGAAAGCGCCCGTTATAACGGGCAGTCCGTCGTGCCAACGGTTCCAAATAGTCTTTACAATCCCGCGCCTTATAGTCAGTCAAATAGCGAAAACGGTGTCCAATCGTTGTCTTTGTCAGGTCTTTCGCCAGCACACATATACACAATTGCTTCGCAGCCGGCAACAACAACACTGCCTAACCTTAATGACGGTTGCCGGTCAAATGTTGTTTTCAGTGCACTGCCATGCCGACCGCCTTCAATAGAAACGAGTGCAGATTCGTTTGTAAACAGAATACACACACCGCAATCGCTAGTTACTGCTGGCAATTATTAAATGCCGCGTAAAGTTCAAGACTTACCCGAATTTAGTGGTCATGCGGAGGACTGCCCATTGTTTTCAAATGCATATATGCAATCAACTGCCGCCTACGGTTACACCAACCTGGAAAATAATCAACGCCTACTGAAATGCCTAAAGGGAGAAGCCAGAGAAGTGGTGAAGTCATTGTTGATCCACCCGGATAACGTAAACGCTGTCATGGAGCAACTAAAATTTCGATTTGGTCGACCGGAGGGGTTGATACGCAGCCAGCTTCGACAACTGAAAGAAATAGGTCCGATTTCTGAGTCAGCTATTGAAAAGCTTATTCCGTTCGCAACGAAGACTAAGAATTTATCTATCTTTCTACAGTCGGTGGATGGATTTCAACATCTTTCAAATCCAACGCTTTTAGAAGAGTTGATTAGCAAGCTGCCCATTAGTAAAAGAATGGATTGGGCCAGATATGCCGCTACGATCAAACCATATCCAACTGTTGTTGACTTTAGCAACTGGCTTAGCGATTTAGCAAATTTGGTTTGTACTCTGCAAGATATTGATAGTCGTCGACGGGTAGTCCTTCATGCGATGGAAAACAATTCCAGGGAATCCCAAACCGCTGCCAGGTGTCCGATTTGTAAAGGACATCACAAAATTAGTGTATGCAAGAAATTCGTAGATTCCTGTGTGGCTGACAGGTGGGCTCAAACAAAGCAGAACCGGCTGTGTTTTTCGTGCCTGAGAAGCGGTCATTCGTCACGCGATTGCCGTAGTCGTACATTGTGCATGGGCGATGGTTGTCAGCGCAAGCACAACAAACTTTTGCACGAGCCTAGCAGCGCCGCCAGTGCAACTGTCACACAACGACGAGAACAACAGTTGGTAGGTACCACCAACGTGATGGAGTCAATGCTAAGCTGCTCCTCAAATTCAACTAAGCAACAAGGGCTCTTATTTCGCGTCTTGCCAGTAACGTTATATGGGCAGCGTTACCGAGTTGAGACATTCGCGATGTTGGATGAAGGATCGTCCATCACTATGATGGACCAGGGACTTCTGAAAAAGCTAGGTATCGGTGGCCATGAATACGATTTGAATATGCAATGGTTTGGTGGAAGAACTGCCCAGGAAGCTGCCACGGTTGTTGATCTGGAAATCAGCGGTAAGGGCTTAACTAAACGTCACAGATTGCGCCACGTTTATGCTTTACCGAACCTTAATCTGCCAGTACAAAGCCTCAGTAGCAGTGCCCTACGTGGAGTGGCAACTCGCGATTTGCCCAACATGCCTATGCCTTTTTCCAACGTCACTCCAAAGATACTCATCGGGTTGGATCATTGTCATTTAGGTTTACCATCCGTAACAATGCAGTTGGAAGATCGAGGCCCGTATGCAGCCAACACGGAGCTTGGTTGGGTGGTCTTCGGTCCGACCGGGAAGAGCGTTGCGTCAAACGCAGCATGTCTACATATAAAGGAGGTAAGCGATTTGCATAGTTTGGTTGAAGAATATTTTGACATCGACAGCTTTGGAGTGCGTTCTGCACCAGTCGTAAAGAGTGCTGCAGACGCACGTGCTGAGCGCATACTAAAGCAAACAACGTTTCGTATAAAGGGGAAATTTCAAACAGGACTCGTTTGGAAAACTGACTGCGTCAAACTGCCTGACAGTTACCGGATGGCTGAAAACAGATTGTTGGGTATTGAGCGTAAATTTAAAAGGAACCATACGTTCGCAGCAGCATATAAAGTCATAATACAGCACTATATTGCGAGAGGATACGCGCGGAAGCTGACACCAGCTGAGAGCGAAACTGAAAACCCAAGACTATGGTACCTGCCCCATTTCGCGGTTGTTAACCCTAACAAGCCGTGGAAATTGCGCCTTGTGTTTGATGCAGCTGCATCAGTCGGGGGTGCGTCACTTAATGGAAGTTTGCTCAAAGGGCCGCAAGAGTATCAGCCGATGCCTTCAGTGCTCTTTAATTTTCGTACCGGGCCAGTCGCCGTATGTGGAGACATAATGGAGATGTTCCACCAAATTTACGTCCGGCCCGAAGATAGATGCTCGCAGAGGTTCCTGTGGAGAGAAGATGAGAAGAAACCACCAGAGATTTATGAGATGCAGGTTATGACTTTCGGTGCTGCCTGCTCCCCGTGTGCGGCACAATTCGTTAAGATGTTAAACGCTCAGGAATACGCAGACCGCTTCCCTCGCGCAGTGGAGTCTATAGTGAAGTACCACTACGTTGATGACTTTGTGGACAGCTTCGAGTCAGTCGAGCAGGCAGTCAGCATAGCAAAGCAAGTGTCCAAAATCCATGAAGCAGCCGGATTCCAAATGCGTGGATATATATCCAATTCAGTTACTGTATTAAAAGCGCTTGGAACTGATGTCGATGCGAGAAGCATTAGCAGCTGTTTTCACGTAAAGAATCCTGCAGCTGAAAAGGTACTTGGATTGTTTTGGCAACCTCAAGATGATACGTTTAGATACGAGCTCGACTGGAAGCTGAAGTCATCAGTGGAAGCAGGCCACCAACGAAGCGAGAAGTACTTAGTTACGTTATGTTCATTTTTGATCCATTGGGATTTTTAAGTCATCTGGTAGTGGGAGCCAAGATCATAATGCGTGAAGTTTGGCGACGCAAGATCATTTGGGATGAGCCCCTGCCTGATGATATTACTTCGGCTTGGAGGAACTGGCAGAGAGAAGTGCGGAGAGCAGCTGCGGTCAGAATACAACGTTTTTACTTCAAGGAGGGTACGCCAAAGAGTTTGCAGCTGCACGTTTTCGTCGACGCGAGGAGGCCTTTGCCGCTGTGTGTTACTGGAGGTATGTTACTGCTGATGGAATCGCCAAAGTTTCACTTATATGCGCGAAGTCAAAATGCGCGCCCATGAAACTAATAGGCATACCCAGGCTTGAACTTCAAGCAGCGGTACTTGGAACACGTTTGTCACAAACAGTTCTCGATGAGCATCGGCTTGCAGTTTCCTCACGAATTCTTTGGAGTGACTCATCAACTGTAGTCAATTGGATAAATTCGAAGCATCGAAAATATAAGCCATATGTGGCGCATCGAATAGCGGAGATCCTTTCAACAACCGAGCCGACTGATTGGAAGTGGCTGCCCACCAAAGAAAATGTGGCCGATATTGCGACACGCCGAACAAGCCAAATAGATGTTGATCCATCTTCGCGCTGGTTCTCGGGTCCATCGTTTTTGTCAATGCCAGTGGAGTCATGGCCACGTGCCTCGGTCACTGCGAACAATCAAAATGACAGCGACGAAGAAATTCGACCAACTAGCGTTTTCCTAACGAATACCTATGTTTTAATTGATTTTAGTCGATTTTCCTCGTACCCTAGGTTGAAAAGAACAACGGCTTGGATGTTGAGGTTTATTGATCGTTCCCGACGTATAATATCGAGTGGGGGTGACTACGGATTGACCTCAAGCGAAGTCGATGCGGCCGAAGCTTATCTGTGTCGCCAAGCTCAGTCTGCAGTATACGGTGTGGAAGTGAAACAACTAAAAGATGGACAAATGGTGTCAAAGGAAAGTCCAATCTACAATTTACTGCCGTACTTGGATGGGAAATCGGTTATAAGGGTAGGTGGTAGGATCCAAGCTGCCAGCTGGTTACCGCTCTCTGCTATACACCCAATTGTGTTGCCACCAAAGCACCGCGTCACTGTGTTGATCGTCGCGCATTACCACTGTAAAATGAAGCACCAGAACATAGAAGCAACAATTGGAGAAATAAGGCAAAAATGTTGGGTCTTGAACTTGAGACAAGTCCTGCGGAGGGTTGTTATTGGCTGCATGAAATGCAAAGTATTGCGTTCCAAACCAGCTACGCCAATTATGAGTCCGCTCCCTCAGGATCGATTGACACCGTACGTCAGACCGTTCAGCTACACCGGGTTGGATTACTTCGGCCCTCTGAAGGTCACTATTGGTCGGCGTACAGAAAAGCGGTGGGTAGCTCTTTTCACCTGCCTTACGGTCCGCGCGATACATCTGGAGGGGGCTTATGACTTGTCCACCGACGCCTGCATCCTAGCAATAAGGAACTTTATTAATCGACGAGGTGTCCCTGTGCGTTTACGGAGCGACAACGGTAAGAACTTCGTTGGCGCAGATCAAGAGGCAAAGCGGTTTGACGAGGTGTTCGACTGCGAGCGTGTTAGCAATGAACTGTCATCAAAGGGTATTGGGTGGATTTTTAATTGCTCCCAGAATCCATCGGAAGGCGGTATATGGGAGCGCATGGTGCGCTGCGTAAAGCGGGTTCTAAGTCACACGTTGAAAGAAGTTGCTCCCCGCGAATATACTTTGCAAAGCGTCATCGTAGAGGCGGAAAACATAGTCAACTCGAGGCCTCTTACTCACATGCCGATCTCGGTCGATCAAGAGGAGCCGCTTACCCCAAACCACTTTTTGTTGGGGTCGCCGAATACGATGCAAACGCCTTGTATAGGGCAGCAGGATGAGAAAATATGGACATTGCGGAAACAGTGGAGAATTGCACGGCAGCTGCGCGACCGATTCTGGAAACGTTGGGTCGTCGAATATTTGCCCGATTTGACAAGGCGAGCTAAGTGGTGCACACCGTCGAAACCATTGAATGTGGGCGATCTTGTATTCATTTGTGACCCGAATATGCCAAGGCGACAGTGGTGCCGGGGTGTGGTTGAGAATGTCTACCGGGGTGCTGATGGCGAGATCAGAAGAGCAGACGTCAGGACAAACACCGGGGTGCTTCGCCGTCCAACATCAAAGCTGGCCGTTTTGAACATAGAATCTAGTTAATCTGAGTGATTCACGGGGGTGGGGGTGTTGCAAAACGCCCATCCCTGACGCGTTAAATATTCATCGATGTAAGCTCATCGCTGTTTTCGAACTTCCTTTTGTTCCATTCGCTGCACTTGCGAATGATAAATTTAGTAGTGTCGTGAATATAGCAGAGGAAGGGCGCAAACTGCGGTGAGTATATTTGTAGTGTTCGTAAATTTGGTCATTTTATATGTTGTATTAAATTCATGTACATTTTTTCCTACAGAAATAAATAGTTGTTACCAGGCCATCCGGCACTATTATATTTCATCGCCTTTTGATCTCACGACGCTACA